TGTCAGCCACCGGTGGCTGACATTGTCACGAATGGGTTATAAAGTTGAAGGCCGAGAAGAGTTAAGCAATGAAAACTGCAACTTCCGTGATAATTTCTGAGAAAGCTAACCTGGTTTTGGAGTAGGCTGCGATGAGCTTGCCGTGCTCTGCTGTTGAGGAGGCAACGGTTGCTGAGATGGTGCCACCTGGAAAGAATCTTGATTCCGATCGATTCATCTCGGAACGTACACTGATGTGTAAAACTTAGGGACGAAATACAACTTCTGGATAGCTCTGTGGGCCGTTAACGGTTCCTGTTGATTGCTTTCTGTACTGCGCTGTAGCAGCTCTTTGTATGTGTGGTTAGGTTCCACAGAGTCTATGTTACTCGCCAGTAACACGTCTTGGAAAAGCTACGTTCGTCCTTAAGTTTTGCACACCAGTGTATTTTGCGTCCTGTCTGACAATGTGTGTCACGACGATGTAACAAACTAATTATGCGACTAGACGTGTCTTTGAGGAGTTTAAAAGAGACATCACAACCGTGGTAGAGAAACGGCAGAGTGCTGTTCGAGAGGTTAATTTGGAAAGATTAGATGCAGTGGGCAAGATATCTGTGAAAGCAACTGAGTGATGAAACGGGTACCCTCCTTCTAGGTAAACACTAAAGTCATTTAAAAACCCTTGATAAATTGAAAGGAAAAGCAAAGCTGTGCAGACGCATGTCCATAGAGAGGAAAACTATAAAACGACTGAGTTTACTAGACACTACTTACCTTAGCCGCATCAACTCGTTGAGCCTGAGGAACGGGCATTGAAACAGGCGCGGGTTGTGACACCGCAGGTTGCGACGACTGTGTAAACGATGGAGTTGGGCTATAAGAACAATATGAATATTTGAAACATTATGAGGTAAAGGCATGAGGGAGAATAGTTTCTGCTTTGATTTTTTATTGTTTCTCTTCCAGGGTGGATTTTGACTTCGAAGACCAATTACTGCGCCTCATTCTCGCCTCACATAGTCTCGATAAATTTCATTCACAATTCCAACTGCATCCCGAAACTGTGAGAAGTTTCCAGCTTCACTTTGATTTCAAGGAAGAGCTAGAATAGCGCTGCAGCTACCAAACTTCTATACCCATGATCCGGATGTGGAATTCTGTCTGAAGCATCTCCTATTTTATTCTGCTGTTCATACCGTTGATCATTTGAAAACCGTAAAACACCGAATGGTTCTTTTTCCAGTCTGAGTCAACCAACACTTCCAAGGAACGCTGTTCATTACATAAATGCAAATGCGAGACACCTGAAGGTGGCGATCAACGCTAAGCCCTTTAACTCCTTATCACATGCGCTTCAAGCCAGTAGTCAAATCGTAAGAAATCTGACTGTCAAAAGCTGGTGAATCATGAACCATTAAAGGCAAACCCTGGGATGAAACTGGTGCTATGAGCGCGTAGTGATAGCTTAGCTGCGGAACGACCTGAAAGTGGAAAGGAAAGCAAGAGAAATCTTTGGGAACGCTGAAATTAAGGCCTTAACCTTCAGTAAGGTCGGATGTGGTACGATGGCGAGACAGGGTGTCAAAGAAGACAAACACGCGAGCACGCTGATCTCACCACCTCTCGCGGTGGGTGGGAAGCGTTGCAACGGGGTCGATGGTTGCAGGCCCGTAAGGATTAGCGCCCTAACCGCGCAATTTTTGCGACGAAGCTGGAGTGATCTAGGTAGGTACGGACCTTACAATTTCCCTCGCGGTATCCCTCCTACTAGTCGGGCTAATCCCGGGGTTGCCTTTAACTGTCAGATAGATGAATTGGTCTGATAGAAAAAGTGCGTACTAAAAACGGAGATAGTGTCGAGCCGAGAGATGTTACCGAAATATGGTCTATGAGTGGAGTCCTCGAGCCAGCTTCTCTATCGAGATTGTTTCAAAATGTTTCCATGGTAAATATACCATGAAAAGCTGAGCTATTGCAAAACGGTGCTTCGCTAGAGTAACATGTAGGGCATTTGCCCAGTAAGCTAAAGGTGCGGGTTCGAGTCCCGCCCGAGAAAGCTACTTTATAGGCCAGCATTCTTGTGAATCTATCGGGATTGTTTATTTCGTATTAGGCACATGTAAAAAGATAAAGTCGCTAGTTCATCACACTGGATAACCCCCGCTATTCATCGAGCAGGCTGCAAATTTGCTGAAATTTCTGCGCGCTCTCCTGCCCTGTGATCCTTAATAGAAGTTGGAAGTTCTGGGAAGCAAATCAACTCCGATCGCTGTTACTGCAATAGTTATCGTGAGGTACACGAGTTATCACTGTTTTTTTTTCTGTTCTCAGTGGCTTAGATAGGTATTGATTATCTTCATGGTCTCATCTACTGGTGAATGCCTCCCCATGGCAAACAGCAGCTAAATCGGAGCGAATACTTTTTCAGAATTTACTGCGACAGTTGTAATTATATGCGAAGAAATAAGTAGCCACTATTTGTCTTGAGTACGCCTGCAATTTATATTCACCTAATCCATAGGTATGGGAGCGATTTTTAAGCTCTACGGCAATACACATATAGCGCGACTATAGATTTCATTTTTTTATACGCATGCCCATGTGGAGAAAAATTAGGATCCAAAACTATTAATCATACTCCTTATTCCTTTTATTCTCTTTTGTTCTATGGCCGCATAACTAGAAAACAAGGCTCCCTACTGCTCAGGTAATTGAGGTGGAACACTTATAAGGGAGGGCAACTTTCAACGTGAGGTATGAATCAAAGCAAAATATAGAATTGTTCACAAGCTATTTGATAAAAACTTACAAAATCAAAAAGAATGGGTCATCGTTGCACAGCATGGTCATGGTTATACGCATTAGAGTGTAGAGATAAACGAATAACTCGCCGGGAATGCGCTACGCATTCGATTTCCATACAGGACAGCAGAGGCATTGGAATGTGCATCTGCCAAATGACATGCATGACCGAGGTCCAAATCTTTTGTTCTCTCCGGACGTTCTATTCTAGGCGACTTGAATGCACTTTTCTACTTGGCTCGGTTAGCAATGACTCACTTAGTCAATGACTTTCGAGCATTATAAACTTTATCCCATTCGTTTCGCGGTGCTCTTAGCCACTGCGCTAGACCCAGTCAGAAACAGATGAATGCTGTGAGCTTTCGGATTGGTGCCTATGTGGGTGAAGAATCCAGTTTTAGCATTTTGACTTGCTTTTGTTTGCTAACTTGCCCTGTGAGCAATAGGTGCGGGTTCGAGTCCCGTCTGCGGCGAAAGTTTTGTGGGTGTATGTCAACATCGTCCGGAGCCCCTAGCTACTGGCCGTGGTCTCGACGTTGCGACTGCAGAGGACGAGTTTCTACGAGCGCCTTTTGAATTTCATGTAAAGGGAGACCGAGTCGACCCATCC